GTTGGAGGAGCTGGAACAATCGGTGAGGGATCTGATGCGCACGGTCCACGATGTGATGGAAGCGTTGCCGGGGATGATGGACATTCGAATGACTAATTTCCTAGCAGATTATGCCCCGCAACCACAAGTTCCGCCTGCGCAGGGACCACCCGCGCCACCTCTGCATGCTCCGCTGCCGGTACTACCACCTCCACAAGCGCCACCTGTTCCGGGAGTGCCTGCACCGCTGCCACCGCCGGGGGGTCTGCAAGGGCCTCCGGGACCTGGTCTACCGCCGCCGCTGGTGCCACTGCGGGTTCCACCAGCGGTCCCGGGCCCTCCTCTCATGGGGGGTCAGGCACCGCTGGGCCCTGCGATGAGAACTCCGCGACCTCGACCTAAAGATCTCCTGGAAGCTACGTTTGACGGCAACCCGGATGACCTCGCTTATTTCACGGTGCGAGTTCAAAAGTTCGTTGCGGAGAGCCGGCACTTATTCCGTGATGAGGGAGCGCTAATCGATGTCATCTCAGCAAGGCTGAAAGGAGACGCCGCCACATGGTATGTTGGGCTGCACAATGACCGCGGTCTGGAACTTTTCAATTTACGCGCATTCATGTGGGCGCTCAGGGCTAGATTTGAGGATGTCAACGCGAGCCAAAGAGCAAGAGCGTTCCTGCGTACCTACCGGCAGAACCGGAATTCAGTTCGAGAATACACGCGTGAATTCCACAAACAAGCCGCGAAGCTGCGAGATTGCCCAGATCACATTTTAGCGGAGATGTACCGACTGGGACTAAATGCTGAAATACGAGAGACTGTTTTACGGTCGGTCAACCCTATCTCCCTAATGGCTTGGGTACAGGAAGCTGAAAACGCTGAAGACCGTCTCAACATGATCAAACTCGACCTGGCTGCGACTGGAGGCCGACCCTCTACGTCCACTATGCCAAAGCAGCGGCCTCAACGCCTGTCAGAATCAGCGAGGGACCTCCGCATGAAGATGGGGCTCTGTCTAAAGTGCGGTGAGAAAGGACACTTTGCCATGGATTGTGGAAACCGCCCAAGTAAAGACAAGCCCCCCACGCCAAAGGCGAAGACTCCGCTGCCCGGGAAGAAAGGGCTCGCTAAGCCGAAGTTTTCCAAGGCTCTGCAGGCTGCCCAAGATCCGGGAGAGCCCGAGCTGGCTGCGGCGGAGTCCGAGGAGGACTTGGTGGGAGAACCGGCGGAAAACGACAACGGCCTGTTGTGAGTGGCGCGAAGCGACACGGCCGTTCTACTGCTGCGCCGAAGGTGGTGAGAGAAACCCCCTCCCTTTTTTTTGTGACTGTATCCTTAATGAACCCCATCCTGGGAACTCATGTCAGAGTAAGGGCATTGATTGACTCTGGGTGCGGGAGGGATTTGATCAGCCCTAAAGTGGTCCTAAGACTCGAAGCGGGGGTCTCCGCCCTGACATCCCCTATCATTTTTACCCAAATGGATGGGGCCCCCATGGAACCTTGTACACACGAAACTATGCCTTTGCGTTTGGGGGCTGGCGACCATTGGGAGCAGCGGTCTTTTATTGTTACCCCGAAGTCACAATTTGATTTGGTTCTTGGCAGTCCTTGGCTGTTTACTCATGACCCCTATATACTTTGGGAGGAGGGGAAGATCAAATTTGTGTCTCCGAAATGCGTGGATCATGGGTGGTTGGACTCTTGGGGTGAACGGCCCGCCACGCAATTCCCCTGCGCTGTTTTGCAGCCGGAAGAGTTGGCGTCTCTGCCTCCTGAGTATAGAGACTTGGCTGAAGTTTTTGGAGAGGAGGAGGCGAACGAGTTACCGCCCCATCGCCCCACTGACTGTGCTATTGAACTTTTGCCTGACTGTAAACTGCCTAAAGGGAAAATTTACGCGATGGGGCCAGCGGAGAAAGATGAGCTCCGCAACTTTATTGACAAGAATCTGGAGCGGGGCTTCATTCGCCCTGCTTCCTCCCCTTTTGCGGCTCCTGTGCTCTTCCGGAAGAAGAAGGATGGGGGGCTTCGGTTATGCACGGATTATCGGGGTTTGAATGCTGTGTCTCTTTCCAACGCCTACCCTCTCCCGCTCATCAAGGATTTGGTGGCTGAGGCCGCTAAAGGCAAGATCTTCTCTAAGCTTGACTTGCGGGACGCATATTTCCGTGTGCGCATCAGGGAGGGGGATGAAAGCAAGACTGCGTTTAACACACCTTTGGGGCAGTTTGAATATCTGGTTATGCCCTTCGGTCTTCAAGGGGCTCCGGGGGTCTTCATGAACCTCATAAATGAGGTCCTTCATGACTTTCTGTTCAAAGGGGTGGTTCTTTACCTTGATGATGTGTTGCTGTATTCACAGGACCTCCCTTCTCATATTAAATTGGTGCGCGAGGTCCTCAGCCAGTTACACAAGCACAAACTGTTCGCCAAATTGTCTAAATGTGAGTTTCACAAACCCTGTATTGATTTCTTGGGCTACCGCATTTCTGAGGGGCGGGTGGAGATGGATCCAGCTAAAATACAGGCAGTGCTGGACTGGGAACCCCCCAAAACCCGGCGCCAACTGCAAATGTTCCTCGGTTTTGCCAATTTTTACAGAAATTTCATCAATAACTTCGCCCAGATTGCGCTACCACTAACTGATTTATTGAAAACCAAGGGGAAGGGTTTTGACGCCACGAAACCTGGTGCCCCGCTCAAATGGTCTCCTGCTTGCGCGGAGGCTTTTGACAATTTAAAGCGGATGTTCACTTCGGAGCCGGTCTTGGCACGACCGGATGAAACTAAAAAATTCATTGTGCAAACCGATGCTTCTGATGTGGCTATGGGGGCTGCGATTTTGCAGGAGGGGGACGACGGCCGTCTGCACCCCCTCGCTTTTGTGTCCAGAAAGTTCTCTGATGCTGAACGCAACTGGGGGATATGGGAAAAGGAGGCGTCAGCTATCCGGCTTGCCCTCTCATCTTGGAGACAGTGGTTGGAGGGGGCCCAGCTTCCTTTTGAGGTTTGGACTGATCATAAAAATCTGGAGATGCTGAAGTCACCCCGTTCTCTCAATGCAAAGCAACTTCGGTGGGCTGAATGTTGCGCCCAAGCAGAAAGCTGGGTTGGAAATTTATCGGGCCGTTCAAGGTGCGCAAGGTGATTAATGATGTTGCTGTTGATGTTGTGTTGCCTAAGAATTTGCGTTCTCTGCATTCTGTATTTCACATGAGTTTGCTGAAGAAAGATCCTGGCACCTCTCCATGGAGGCCTACTGTTTCTCCCCCGCCTCCGATCATCCTTGAGGGGGATGAGCATTTTGAAATCGCGGATGTCCTTGATTCCAAGCTGAAACGTGGTAAACTCTGGTACCTCATTGAATGGGTTGATTTCGGTCCCCAGCACCGCGAATGGGTGGAAGAAGGGGATATTCGGGCCCCTTACCTGCTTCGTTGTTTCCACAGGAAGTTCCCGGACAAACCGGGAGGTCTCCCGCCCAGCCCGGGAGATCTCCCGCCCGACCCGGGAGGTGACGGTTAAGGTGTGTTTTTGAGGGGGCAGTATGTCAGCAAGCTGCCATGGTGTTCTGTGTAACTTCTGGTTGTACATATGTGATCCCTGTCCCTGCCAGCTGGCCTATGTGTTTTCCCTGCTGTAATGCCAAAGTAAAACAACTGGAGGATGTGAGGGGGAGAGTATGCTTCGCTGCTAGCTTCTTACTTATCAAGCCTGAGAACTGCACCTGTGTTATGTCTACTGTTCGCCTGGTTCCCAGGACCTGAGCAAGCAACCGTTTTCTCCTGCCCGCCAGCGGGAACGTTATCCATTGGTTGTGTATCTAACTTGAATCCCTTTATCATGTCTGCCCTAACTGCTTGTACCCAGTTCTAACAAGGAACGTGTTTGAGTATCTTTCCAATGCTTTGAAATAAACTTTACTTTCTTTGAAACGTGGATTTATTCTCGATGCTTGGGGATCCAACACCAATCCTCCAAGAGCTTACAGAGCTCTTCTTACAGGGGCTACTGTAAGCTCTTGGAGGACTGGCTATATCAGGGGTGTATCGCCAAATATGCAAAGGAGTTCCTGCTACAAAAAGAGACCTGCCAGACACAACAGGCAATTGTGAAGAGCTGCATTTTTTTTTCTTGGGAGGTTTGAACAGAGCAAACCTTTCACCACAATTCCCTCCCCCCCATTTTTTTCTGTTTGTGCAGAGAACAGGCAGGAGGGGAGAGGACCGTTCAACTGCTTTCCAGACTCACTTAAGCCACCCTTTTGGAAAGGCTCACAAGTCTAGCAAGAGCCCTTTTGATGGTCCGGTCCCCCACCCCACATCTGGAAGGGAACAGAGATTTGGAGGAATTAAGCACTAGAGAGACTTCAGGAAGAAACTTCTGGAGGCTACAGGAAAGGTTGCTTTGACCTGGCCTGGCCCAGCCCGGTCAGTGGGAAAAACTAAAACTCCTGGGAGCAGGAAGGAGGCGGTCTTCAACTGCTTTCCGGCCTCACCTAAGCCACCCTTTTAGAAATGCTCATAAGTCTAGCAAGAGCCCGTGGGATTTGGAGGAGTTAAGCACTAGAAAGATTTCAGGAAGAAACTCCTGGAGGCTACAGGAAAGGTTTCTCTGGCCTGGCTTGACCTGGTCAATGGCAGAAACTGTAAAGCCTTTTGGGTGAAGAAAGGAGGAGGTCTTTTGTGCCGATCCCGTCAAGGCATACCGGATTCTTAGCTGACATCTCTAGGAAGGCAGCCATTGCCAGATGAGCTGGCCTGCACGCCCGAAGGAGACTTCGACTGAATGGAAACTCTGTAGAATATCTGGTGACTTTCTAAGGTAAGAAACCTGCGGTCTATTTAACGTCTGCTAGGGGTTGTGTAGAGGGAGGGACAGAGCAATTGCATTTTACCCTTTTCTTTTTTGCATCCCTTCCTCAATCTTGTGCTTTGCTGAGAGTTTGCGTGTGAACATTCCGTTTTCAGTTGCTATCTCCCACATAGACCTCCACCGTCTTGGACGTTCTGTTTTAAAGGAGCACCGGTAGGAAAGCGGGGACAGTCGGTCAAAAAGTGTCTACTCCCCCAGTGGTGCACAAGGCAGTAAGTAGTAGATTTGTTTTACCACAGTCAGTGGTAAAACAGCTCTGGTACCTGGCATTGCATTTTATGGCCCACGTGGCCCAGCTTGACAAAGCTACATCAGATCCAGCCCTTGTACAAATGAGTTCGACACCTCTGAATTATAACGGTGACGTTGAACCCAGGCCAGAGCAGTAGATGGGGGTGGCAGAGCTGACCAAAAGGGGCCAACCACGTCCTTCCTCAGCAGTGACTTCATTACCATAAACAGAGGAGGAGGAGGAGAAGAAGAAGAAGAGGAGGAGAAGGAGGAGGAGGAGGAGGAGGAGGAGGAGGAGATTGGATTTATACCCCACCCTTCACTCAGAGTCTCAGAGCGGTTTACAAACTCCTTCCCCCCCTTCCCCTCCCCACACCCTGTGAGGTAGGTGGGGCTGAGAGAGCTCTTTTCAAAACTGTCCTTGAGAGAACAGCTCTGACAGAACTAGGGCTTGCCCAAGGGTCATCCTGCAGCTGCGAGTGGAGGAGTGGGGAATCAAACCTGGTTCTCCCAGATTAGAGTCCGCGCACTTCACCACTACACCAAACTGGCTCTTGAAGGAATCGCAGTCACTCCTCCCTGCATCGAGGAGAGAGACAAGGAGATGGGGATCCTCACCCAGCGAGGCCACGTTCCCAAAGTTCTCCAGCATGACGTCCTTGTAGAGAGCTCTCTGGGCCGGGCGCAGCAGGGTCCACTCCCCCCAGGTGAAAGACACGGCCACCTCCTCGAAGGACACCGGGCCCTGGAGGAGGAGGAAGAAGACTGCAGTTCTTTCCAGCATTGGAAAACTGATCCATGAGTGGAAAACAACATGGGTATTAAAGCAGTTTCTGAAGCAGTGGCCAGGAAGGGACCATAGCCCAGAAGGGTGGCCAGCACTCACAGGGCACTACCAGCCTCCTCTCTTCCCTGGCTTCCTCCTCCTTTCCCCAACTTATGTCTTTTGTAAAGGTTCTTCTCAGCACCCGTCTCCCAACCTTCATGTGCTACAAACTGGGATTTTGCCACACCTCCTATAAAGGACATCACGCCCCCCCCCTCCCCGCACAAACGCTTTTCCAGTTTGGCCAAGGAATTCTCTGTACACTCAAAGCTAACCCCTCACTAGGGTCTCCCGTTGCAGTTTGGAAGATTCCCGAAGACGTGGAATGGTATTGGGGCGGGCACAGTTCGGGGAGGAAACTCAGCAGAGATGCCATCCCGCAGAGCATGCCCTGATCTCTGAATCGGGGAGATCAGCTGTGATTCCAGGAGAATTCCCAGGCCCACCTGGAGGTTGGTAACCAGAACTGCGCCACTCTCCCCTCTCCAGGCTAGGCTGTGACCAGAACCAGGGGTCATTCCTGCAGGAGCGCACAGGAGCAGAGTTCCGGGAGTAAAGAGCCCAGGGGGCAGGCACACGCAACAAGCCGCACCCCCTGCTCCCAGCAGCCCTCAGTCAGAGCAAGAAGCAGCCAGGTAAGCTGCAGAGCCCCCCCCCCAGTCCAAAACAGTCCAGTGGCACCTTTAAGACCAAGTCTTATTCAGGTACAAGCTCTCGTCCTCTGCGAGGACAGATCTGCACGTCCCCCCCCCCCAATAGCTAGCAATCCAAAACAGTCCAGTGGCACCTTTAAGACCAAGTTTTATTCAGGTAGGAGCTCTCCCTCCTCTGTGAGGACAGATCTGCATGTCCCCCCCCCCAATAGCTAGCAATCCAAAGCAGTCCAGTGGAGCCTGAGTGGTGGGTGTTGCCTTCTGACACACTTCCGGTGAGGTCAGGGGGTGTGGCCTATGCAAATGAGTTATACTAATGAGTTATGCTAATGAGCTCCTGCACCTCTTTTTCTACGAAATGACCCCTGACCAGAACCAAGGGCGAGGAGCCTGGCCAGCGTCCATCTCCGCCGTGAGACCCCCGCCCCATTACCTGGAAAGGCTTCATGGCCGCTCTTTTTCCCTTCCCCACACAGAGGAGACGGTGGGGGAGGAGGCGTCAGAGGTGTCTTCCTGCTGCTTCCTGGGAGGGAGAGAAAGAAAGATGGAGGGAAACCCTTTTTGGCTACGCAGACATTTTCAGTGCCCGTCCTCTGACGTGACCGTGTCTCTGGATTGGCATTGTGACACAATTCAGGGTCCGGGAATCGACCAAGTAAAACTCAGGATGATTTGACCGGAAAGCCAGCCATTTTTATAGGGAGGGAAGTCGCGCCTTCCGTGTCCATCCAATCTCCCCTCTCCAGCCTGGCCATGGGCCCTTCCAGCCTTGCCCAATCCATCCCTGGGCGCTCAGTCCCTGACCCTGCCGGAAGCCACAGTACTCTTCCCCTCCCCTCTGAGGGATGCCAAAACCCTCCAGCCTGCCTCACACATTGAGGAGAGGGCATGGGGTGGGAAGGCCCCGAGGAACTAGAATTGAGCTGCTGATGGACGCTCTCCTTTTCACTATTCTGGGCCATTTGGCCTCCCCCCCCCCCCAAACTGAGAGCCAGTTTGGTGTAGTGGTTAAGTGCGCGGACTCTAATCTGGGAGAACCGGGTTTGATTCCCCACTCCTCCACTTGCACGTGGCTGGATGATCTTGGGCAAGCCGTAGCTCTGACAAGAGCTGTCCTTGAAAAAGAGCAGTTTGTGTCAGAGCTCTCTCAGCCCCGCCTACCTCACAGGGTGTCTGTTGTGGGGAGGGGAAGGGAAAAGGAGTTTGTAAGCCGCTCTGAGACTCCTCTGGGTAGTGAAGGGCGGGGTATAAATCCAATCTCTTCTTCTTCTTCTTTTACCTCACAGGGTGTCTGTTGTGGGGGAGGGGAAGGGAAAGGAGTTTGTAAGCCGCTCTGAGACTCCTTTGGGTAGTGAACTGTGGGGTATAAATCCAATCTCTTCTCTTCCTCTTCTTCAAACTAGGAAATTAGCAGGGTTTTTATTTTATTCCAATGGGGCAAAGATTAAAGAACACCGACTTCTGGAGCAGAGACGAATGCGGGGGTTTTGTGTTCCCTCTAAGCTGAGTGAGTGTGAGTACGCTCACAGCTTTTTTTTTTAGCCTCCACATCACACATTTCCCTCTTCGCAGTGGAAGGATGGGCTCCAGAGCAAGCTAGTCTATGCAGCAGCCAAATCGCTGGCTCACAACTTTAATGCCTGGAGTTCACAAAGTAGCATTTTTGCTCAGGGGAATCTACAGCTTAGAGGGAACATTTGGCCCTGGAGCCACCAGAACCCCCTTGTCTTTGCTCTCTCCTCAAGGATTCGCCTCCTGGAGGATGTGCCCTCCTTTGCAAACTCGGAATTGGAGTCTGCAGTCCAGACCCCAGGACTGCCCCACCACCACCACCGACCAGTGTTCCCTCTAAGGTGAGTTAGTGTGAGCCAGCTCACAGTTTTCTAGCCTCTGGCTCACACATTTTTGTCTCAGCTCAGGAAGGGATGGCTCCAGAGCAAACTAATGTATGCAGCAGGCAAATCGCTCACTCACCACTTTAATGCCAGTAGCTCACAAAATAGAATTTTAGCTCACAAGACTCCACAGCTTAGAGGGAACATGACTCCTCTCCCTGGCAGAAGAGGGATGGCCAGGGGCACATATCCCGCCCCTCACCAGCTCCCTCCTCTTGAACCAGCCACTGGCCGGCCAGAGAATCTGCCCAGGTATGTGTCTCCCCTCCCACCGAAAACCCCCACCCCCACCCCTCTCCCTGCCTTTCTCTGGCGCACAAATCCCCACACACACACTCAGTGGTGCCCAGGCCCCCGGGACTGGGGCCACTCGCCCGGGACAGACCATGCCTGGGTATGTTCTTAACTCGTTGCACTGGAAGGCCCCCCGCAATGCAGGGAAGGGGCTGGATCTCGCCCCTCGCCCCCTCCCAAACCCGGTGCAGAGAAGAGGGGAAAGAAAAGGAGGAGCCGCCAAAGGAGAATCCCCCCCCCCCGGGCTCTGCAGTGGGGCGGCTCTCCCTCCCCTGCTTCCCCTTCCACCCACCCCAGCTGCCCCTGCATCCCCCTTTCACGCACCCAGGAAAAAGGAGCCGCCGCCGCTTTTGCAACCCCGGAGAACAACAACAAAGGCGGATTCCCCACCTGCAGACTCCGGCCAGGAAGGAAGGCAGGAAGAGGCCTCCCCTCCTCCTCCCCCCTTTCCCGGCGGCCCCTCTAGGATTTTGGAGAGAGCCAGGGGAGGGGAATGGGGGCGTGCTCCATGAAGTCTGCCCCCCCCCCTTCCTCCGGGAGGAGGCGATGCGCAGCCCTGAGCCCCGCCCGCTTTTCTCTTTCCACCTCTGCAAAAAATGGGCTTTGCATTCGCTTGGGGGAAGAAGAGGCTGGGAGGCGATTCCCGGGAGGGCAGGAGAAGAAGAGATCGGGTTTCTAGCCCGTCCTTCACTCTCCAAAGGAGTCTCCGGGCGGCTGAGGAACTCCTTCCCCTTCCCGCAGCAGGCACCCTGCGGGGTAGGTGGGGCTGAGAGAGCTCTTTCGGGGAGTGCCCTTAAGAGACAAGCATGGACGGCTTCAAAAGGGAATTAGATAAGCCTATGGAGCAGAGGTCCATCAGTGGCTATTAGCCACAAGGTATAGATAGGGGCTCTAGGGCAAGTGATGCTCTGTCTTCTTGGTGCTTGGGGGGGGGTCAACAGTGGGAGGGCTTCTAATGTCCTGGCCCCACTGCTGGACCTCCTATGGGCATCTGGTATTTCTGGCCACTGTGTGACACAGACTAGATGGGCCTTTGGCCTGATCCAACATCTATACCTTGATCCCTATCTATACCTTGTGGCCAATGTTCCCTCTAAGCTGTGGAGGCTTATGAGCAAAAATTCTACTTTGTGAGCTACTGGCATAAAAGCTGTGAGCGAGTGATTTGGCTACTGCATGAATTAGTTTGCTCTGGAGCCCTCCTTCCTGAGCGGAGACAAAAATGTGTGAGCCAGAGGCTGAAAAACGGTGAGCTAGCTCACACTAACTCAGCTTAGAGGGAACGCTGCTTGTGGCTAATAGCCACTGATGGACCTCTGCTCCATATGCTTATCTAATTCCCTCCTGAAGCCATCCATGCTTGTAGTCGCCACCACCTCCTGTGGCAGTGAATTCCATGTGTTAATCACTCTTTGGGTGAAGAAGTACTTCCTTTTATCCGTTCTAACCCGACCGCTCAGCAATTTCATGGAGTGCCCACAAGGAGTTCTTGTATTGTGAGAAAGGGAGAAAAGTACCTCCCTACCTGCTCTTTACAATGCATAATCTTATAAACCTCAATCACGTCTCCCCTCAGTCGTCTTTTCTCCAAGCTAAAGAGCCCTAAGCGCCTTAACCTTTCCTCATAGGGAAAGTGTTCTAACCCTTTTATCATTGGAGTCGCCCTTTTCTGCACTTTTTCCAAAGCTATAATATCCTTTTTAAGGTGTGCTGACCAGAACTGCACACAGCATTCCAAATGAGGTCTTCCTGTTGTATCCTCCGTTTCTTGGAAGGGGGGAGCGGTCAGATCCAGCTGTGTCCACCAGATGCCGCCCCTCCCTCCTGAAGACTTCCTTGGCCCTCAGCGTGGAGTCAGATCCCCCCCCCCCGCCCACCTTTCAGTCCCTTTTCTCCTTGCATCCCCTGCTTTCCTTCTGCCAGCCGACAGGAATCGTGCAAAACGCAAGGGAGCGCTGGCTGAAGTCACTTTAAGGTGAACACAATAACCGCATAACTAGATGAAGCCCAGGTATTCTTACAAGAAACAACAGTAGTACAGAAAGGTAACGTCACAGTAGTGCAGAGAAGTGAAGTCCCGAAAATTTCAATGTGTCTCACTCCTGTTGTGTTAGAG